TCATGCAATTCGTTTGCTATACTATTTAATTAAAATTGAAATAAATTTTGGAATGGTATAACATCAGAATCGAATCTATTTTTAACTGATTTAAAAAAACAGGAGGTTTCCAAATTCGGCTGTATTTTTTTGTGTGTTGGCTCAATTATGAGGCAGTTATATATAAACCGATTTGGAAAAGTTTTTTTTTTTTTAACTCAAAGTTTACATTTACAAACTGGTCACATAGAAATAAAAAAAAAAATATTGGTAAATTTGTTTTTAAATCAAAATAACTAGGGTTGCCACAATTGAAGTGAAGGGGATTTTTTTTTAGAACAATCTTACGTTTTAAAGACTCAGTATAGGACTGATAAGTCCTTCTTTTAATAAATAAATAAATAAATATATATTTAAGAAATTGTAGTTTTTTTTTTACAACACAGGGGACAAACGAGCATGCGGCTCACTTTGATGGTAAGTGACTACCGCCGCCCATGGCCACCCACAACAACGACATTGCAGGTGTGTTGCCGGCCTTTTAAAAGGGAATATGCTCTTTTCTTGAAGGTTATGTTGTCGTATCGGTTTGATACAGTTTTGTATTATCGAAGATATAATAGCGTAAAGTAAACAATACTATCAAATTGAAAACCATTTTTAAAGTCGGTTAAAATTAGGAAATTCAATGATTCAATACTGGAAGACAAGATTGTCAAAACGCGTTACCAAGATGGTGCCTGACAAACCCATACAGTAACCCGCGTCACCAGTCCAACTATAGTGTGTAAGGAAAACAATGGGCACATCAGTATGTCGAGTTAGGTGCCGATACGCCATGAATACGATTTGGGACAGAGATAAATTTCGAATTAGGAGAGTTGGTTCCTGTATATGTGGATAGGTAACCATATTTTTAAGACCAATCGTACCAAAGGCAAGAAATACTTATATTAAAAAGTTCACAATTGATTCTAGTTTGCATCTAAATTTTTAACTTAAAATTAATGGGATATTTATTATATGTATATATTTATTTATTTAATATATTATGTGTATGTTTATATTATATGAATGTATCAAGTATTGCTTTATATTTCCTCAATTCGATAATGCACCGCCTACTTATTTTTGTTTGCCCAATGGTCGACTGGTAGAAAACACCGTCCGGTGTTAAGTCCGCCATACGTACATATAGAATTTTTACTGTGTATTAAAGTGTAAATAAATAAAAATATTTATTAAATACTAGCGGCCCGTCCCGACGTCGCACGAGTGGACATTTTTAACATTTCCCTTCACTGTTCTGCTCCTATTGATCGTAGCGTGATGAAAAGTATACTATAACCTGCCCAGGAGTATGAAGAATAATTGTACAAAGTTTCGTTAAAATCCATCGAGTAGTTTTTGTTTCTAACGAACATACAGACAGATAGACATAAATTTTTACCGATTGCATTTTTGGCATCAGTATCGATCACTAATCATCCGCTGATAGTTATTTTGGAAATATATTTCATGTACAGAATTGACCTCTCTACAGATTTATTATAAGTATAGATTTTATACGTTAAATAGCCATTTTCAATCGACCCTCTTGATGACAGATTTTAATGTTTTTTTTTTTCAATCGTATATTTTTTCAATTGTATTTTTGCTGTTCAAATATGAACTTTGTGATTATTGAAATCAGTTTTTATTTAATTGAAATAAAATATTAACATATCTTTTTTGTAAGCATTGTACGAGTAATTCGATAATAATTTTTAATACTCAAGTTGCCAAATTCAAAGATAATCTATTAATAAAAAAATATATTAATTAAATTGTTTAAAAAAATATATTAAATATTTTTTTTTACCTTCGTCTTTTTTTTCTCAATGTCCTCTACCCAAAGGTTGTCTGGAAAAGATTACTTAGCAGCAAGGCCGCCTTTTGTATCACTTCTCATTAAAATTGGCTTTATTTACTATTTTATAAATAGTACAATAAAGTGTAAAATAAATAAATAAATAAACATAATAATCGAAACAACAAATAGTTCGGTAGTTTTTAGTAAAATCTTAAAAAAAAAAACTGGTTTCTTCGGTTGTAGGTTACTAATTTACAGGTTATTGACCGCCATATTTTCTCATTCATTTCTGTCTGTACATTTTTTTATCGTGTAGTAAATATACTATAGATAGATACTCTTTATTGTTTCCTCCAAAAGATTACAACAGTAAAATTATTATAAATATAAACAATTACAAGAAATAATCACAGTGAGAAAACAATGGGCGACCTTATCGCTAAGAGCGATCTCTTGCAGGCAACCTTTGGATGGAGAGGAGTAATTATAAACAGTTTGATCGGAGGCACGATGAAGACATATTACTTATACAGTCTAATAAATACACACTGTCTTAACCACTCATAAATTTATACCTCTTTAAATTTGGTTACCATGAAATTGTATCACTTAACACTGTCTATATTTGAACTGTATAAACATGGATTTTATTTATTTTGTATATTTAATTAACCTGACTTTATGGACACTCATTGTTATACATAGTTTCACTCATACATGCGCTTAAATTACTTGCATACACCCACTCTAACTCGCCTACCTTGCTTTAGAGTTATAATTTTTGTTTGTATAAATAAAATCCGTTATTGGCTGTATTTATAAGAGACTTGGCATGTAATTTGTTTTTAAAAGCTGTGGATTTTTGTATTAAACAAATTAAACAGAGTAATACACATTTTGATAATAAAAAAAAAATCTTTATTATTTAAGCAGATTCTCAGTTATGGGTGATATGGATATTTTTTTTATACAACTTAGAATGGCAAACAAGCTGACGGCCCACCTGATGGAAAGTGGTAACCGTCGCCTATAGACATGAGCAGTAACATGGATATAACAGAGTATACTGTTTCGCCCATGATACCTCGCATGCGTTGCCATTCCTGAAGACTTAGGTGTTATTCCTCTGTACCCTGTAAATTCACGCTATATCCCATCCATCAAACCGAAACACAGCCATGCAAACACAACTGCTTCACGGTAGAAACACGAATGGGACAGAGGTACCCAAGCAATCGACTTTTGTACAAAGTCTCCCTCTGGTATTGCTACATACTACCAAACCCTAATCGCTATGGCGGGAGAGCGATATCAAAATAATATGATTCATACAAGTCCATTACAAATATATATTTACTAGATAGCCGTCTAGGTTTCGTTGTAAACAGAGATAGGCGATGCTTACAGTTTATTGACCACATACACTACCTTTTGCCCCCAACTTCGTCTGATATATAGATAGAATGTAATGAATGAATGTGTATACTTTATTTGCATTATACAATATAGAGAATAAACAAGACAATAAATGTAAGGATACAATTGTATATTAAGTACAGTAAGGCGGTCTTATTGCTGAGAGCAATAAGACGATAATTAAGAAAATTAACACAATAAAACATTAAGGACAATAAAGTACTTTTATCAAATAAAAAAATAAAATAAAAATAAAGTGAACTATATATATATATATATATATATATATATATATATATATAACTGATAAGATTACAAGATTTTTATTAGTTTCAACATTTATTTATATTAAATGTGTGACAATTAGGTACAAATAATTCTAATAAACTCTTTCCAGCAATACCACAGCAGAAAAATTAATAAAAAAAGAATTATGAATTTAATGAAACATCAAACTGGAAAACATACTTTAGTCATAATTGGAGTCGAATACTCCAAAAATCTCGATATTTTTTGAGTTTTGCTTATCCCAAAAGAATAAGAAGTAACAAAATAACAGCTGTATCATAACACAGAGGGTGTAATGTTAATATTAATTTAATAAATTTTTAAAATGTAATAAAATAAATACATACATATATACTTTTTTTTACTGAATATTGGTTAAAAAATTGCATAATAATTCAATTTATGACAAGTTGATTAAAAATATAGTATTAACCTAGTAAAATATGAAAAATTTTAATTTAATATAATCTTTTTTTAATTGCTTACTTACACAGAGAAAACAAGAACATCCGCTAACTAAAATTTCTAACATGCCTACCTAAACATATTTGGATATAGGCACATCTGTTCAGATAAGACGTAACGAATATTTTTTTTTTATAATTCGAACGTTATAAATGACGGGCTACGATTGGTCGGTCATGGGACGCCGGGATAGCCTTGAGCGAGGTTCAAATTCAAGCGTACCCTTCTTGTAACGGATTTTTAAAGGCGGGAAAAAAAAACAATACAGTTAGTATCCTATAAGAATTAAATGTACAGATAAAAAATGTTTTAAAATAATATTGATGGATGAAATAACGAAAAAATGTAAATGTAAGTTGCCTACAAATCGAAAATGCTTAGTAATAACGGTTTAACTAGAAAATTTCCTTTGTTGCTGCTAGCTATAGTTTGCTCGTACTACATACACTTGTATGACATCTGAAATATATTTAGTAAGGATTCCGCTAAGAATAACAAATGTATCATACCTAAAATTATATTTTACTAATCTTTCTACGGAAATTGACATTTTCATAACATCGGCTATGGTGAATCAACTAAATCGGAATAGCAAATGGCGATAGAACACGTGGAAGTACCACGGCGCTAGCGGTGTCTCGCCGATCGATACAGGAAAGTAGGTAGGCGGGGCACTAGTAAAATTTTCACAATTCTCAGTTTCTCGTACCGCCTCGCGAGAATTTAGGGTAAATTACAAACAATTAGAAAATGAAGACAAAGTTAACGAGCGGGTAAGTGTGACCACACCCATGACTCGATTGAGAAAAAAAAACACTAGTTTTGCTTAAAATGACATATAAACGATTAAGAATGCATTTCACACAAGAAATAACTCTAAAATTGCTAACAGTGAGCAATTTTCGCTGGAGTACCGATGCGTCACAAAATGCCGGCCGCTCAGACATGTTCCAAAATCAAATTTTACTTTCGAAAAAAAAATAAAACCCGAAATAAATACCTTAGCTCCAATTTGGTTGCCGCACTGTCCGGCTTGAATGTGTACGATTTCCCTCATTTTGATTTGGAACTTAATAAATTACTTAACACTAAAAAATTTACTGCTCCGCACGCACCACGTACTTTCGTGGTTGCTTGAAGAATAATCTCGTTCCGTTCCGTCCGTACGACCAAACCTACGTAATTCATAGAGATGTGAACCCATACGCCATACTACTATCGACAAAATTTGTCGCATTGCGTCAATATACGCCTATAAAGCAAAATATTTCATAATAATTCATTCTGTTATTCGTAGTAATACTTAATGATATATAAAGTTTATAGATTAAAGTAATAAATAAAGTTTAAAGTCACATCTTTAATACTTAGACACAGATTGTTCAAATCAAATTATATTAAAATTATTTATGTCCAGAAAACCATATTACAAAAAATATCAAAAGTATAGCACTTGTCCAATGTTTTAGCTGATACAGGTTTGCAAATTTATACATTTTAATTGTTGTATAAATAATTTTTTTTTTAAATTGAATAAACAACTTAATAATAATAATTAATTTCTATTTCATAATTCAGCAATAATAAAAAAATAGATTTATATGTTATTATATAATTCAACTACTCAACATATCTATATTACTTTATAAATTCTTTGTTTTCATTTACACTATAAAAACAATGTTATTTTGTATGTTATGTAATTGAGCCATGTCGTCAAACGCGATTTGAAAATCTCTTCCGCTTAATATTTTCATATCTTCATGCAGGCGACTATAAAGTAAGATATTAAATATATTTTTCTTTTATATATATTTGTGGTATTGCAGCTGATATAATTTGTTCATGAGATTTGATCTAATTTGCCATTGATATACTCCACTTCTCGTTTTTTAGAATTGTAGATGAGAGTTAATAAAAATACCAACGTCTCTTATATACATACTTGGAAGTGGTAGAATATTCAATTTCCGAAACAGTGGTATACAGCTATCTACATACCATGCATTACGTATTGTGCTCTTTCTATATCCATAGTTTCTCCAAAGTATCAATCCATAATTAAGCACAAACGACACATACTCACGATATGCAGTTTCTGTAGAGACTGTCTCTCTTAATCTTTAAGGGCAAAGGCAAATTTATTTAATTTATTGTAAATCTGTTCGATGCGTTCTTTCCAATTTAAATGTCTATCAAATTTTATACCAAGAAATTTAAGAATGTTTAGTTTGTCTATGTGATTATTATTGTTGTTGATGTGAATGGGATAGGATTTGAATTGTATGAAGTAAATTGCATTGCTTTATTATTATACATATGTAAACCATTAATATTCATCCAGTCTAATACTTCACAGAGAGTTTTATTAATGTCTGATTCGAAAAAGTATTTACACTTTACTATGAGTATTGCGTCATCAGCGAGCTATATATGCATTTGTGTGCTGTGACAATACGAAGATCGTTCATAACTTCATATTAATGAAAAAATAATGGTTCTAGAATGCTAATCGTTTGTTTAGATACTAAATTAGATGATTTAATAATTGTTGTTATCTTGGTACATTACGTTCTGTTTATTAAGAATTTTTTATCCATTCTTGTGCTCAATATCAATGCCATAAAAGTTCAAGTTCACGAAGAACAATTTCTTCGTTTTTAAATGTTAGTGTCAAATCATTAAACAGTTTGCCCAATTTATGCAAACTAATACCTATGTGAGCTATTTCTAATCCTCCAATATTTTGGTTAAATATTGTCAAATTATTGAAGCTAACAATACATGTGAAAGATTTACAAGTATTTGGAGATGTTAAAACGATCTACATGAAAAAAAAATATTTATATTAACTTGATAAACGAAAAACATTTCTGTCACAATTTATGGCAGTCGTTAATTTACAATTTTTATTTTATTATTTATAAAATATATATTTTAAATAATCAATTTTTATATTTAATTTAATATTAATAACATTTAGGAGTCATAATCATATTTAGGATTTTACTTAGAATTTATTTAAAAAGGTAGGCACAATCACAAAGCAATCGCATAATTTACGTGAACAAAGATAGATAATAATGTATGTTTGTTCATGTAAATTATGCTTAATGTAACATACAATCGACGATTTACAACTTATCAATTTATCAAATCATATAAGGTAACAGAGATGTATTCAAGCGCCTACCTGACGACTAAAAAGGTTTATACTCGGTATTACTTGGGCTTATATAGTTCCGGTAACAGATAGGGGTAACAAAGTAGTGAGATATTGCTAACAATATATATAAATTAAATATATCAAGTAATATATACTTTAAATATATTTTACAAGCAAATCGTTATTCAATATAATAACATGTAATGTCCGTTGTTACAGATACTTAATAAGAAAATATTGTTGTATTTAAACAAGATATTACAAATATTACTAAATAACGAATAAGGATCTTTATCATTAGTACCAACCAATAAAACAATTATATCATGCTTGTACAGATTTTTTTATATTATTTAATTACTTTAAAATGTCGTAATTCAGTACTTCGTTTATTTTTTTTTTGTCTACTGTTCGAAAGATGAATAAGATTACCTAATGTTAGTTAATAAAGTTTACCGAAGGAAAGGGAACAATAGAGGGTGGAACAATACGTGACTGAGATACTATATTTTTTATGAAATATGGAATGACCAACAATGTGACGGCTTACCTGGCCGAAAGTGGAAGTCGTTGCATTTAGACACGAACAGTATCTCGGTTGTTGTAGTTTGTAATGTTTTGTGTTTTTATTATTATTTATTTAATACTTTATTGCACCAACATTACAGGATTTGTTGAACAATTTTTGCTAAGTATAATATAGTACAAAAGGCAGACTTATTGCTAAGCAACCTTTGGGTAGAAAGAATTAAAAAATAAATATGTAGGTGGCGCGTAAATTTTTTTTTTATTCAAAAGACGAGCTTCCAGTTAATCTGGTAGAAATGGCAACCACCATAAATAGCAAAAATATGAACCAGTATATAGTGACGCCAAGTTCATTTACTTTATTTTCATGTAAATATATTAGTTTATTAACTATGGTTAACAATGCGTTTTTAAAGTATCTTAAACATTGAGTTAGAATACAACATATTCGTTAACCAATTTTTTTTTTCAAATTCATTTAGTTGTTAAAGTCCAATTGAGTAACAAACATGATTATACACTTTCACATTTATAATTTTTTATTACACTCAAATATTCAGCAATATTCGTAATAACAATTAATGTAAGCAAATGTAAAAGATCTCTATCAGTCAACGTAACTGTAATTATTAATTATTTGGATAAGATAAACATTTTTTTTGCGACTTTATAATAGAACTACTTTTTATTCGCTATTTAGGGCCATGTAATAATAGATTAATTAATGTATCTCGATAAATTACAAAATCCCTTATAGTCCTTTCTATCCTAAATACCAAGATTGAATTTAATGACTATTGACTGAATCGTCAACGCGTTAAGAGTTTGTGTAACAAATAAACAAATTCACTTTTACTTTTGTATTATTACTAAAGATTCATTTATTTCTGTTGTCACTGGTGTGAGAATGGCATCTTTTGATGTCGTCAAGAGAGAGAGAGAGAGACATGATTTACCGGACTGCATTAAGATTCCTCCAAAGCAAGAAGCAAATAACTATCATTTATTAAATTTATTTATTGTTTTACTAACATAATGCTATATACTATGAATCAGATGATATGAGATTGTAATTATTTTGAAAATATTCATATGCATAAACTTGTGATATTTATCGATATCGATACTGTCACAGCACCATGGCAGTGGCGCAATTCTATTGGTTAGGGACGCCATGTTGCTAGCAAAGCTGCCAACATAAGTAAAATAATCGTGACCTCATTTTAGTATTAATAAACAGTTTTCAGTGATAAATATAAATATTTTTTTATTATAAATATAATTTTCTAATATTTTCGTTATATTTCCTCTTAAGAGCGATATAATAATATTATTTTCAATTATTTAACATTTAAAATAGTCGCAGGTGTTAATGTCTGTTATGTTGGTAGCCCAGCAGCGGTTGTAGCGATTATGCCGGCCGGCGGAAAAAATACAATGACACACTATTTAAAAGTAGATATAGATAATAGGCAATAAAAGTTATGGACAGTGTACAATGTAATGATTGAACAATTTTATAATAACTTTAAATAATATATATGACCCAATTGTAAACTGAGTTGTTTAACAACTTATTTATATAGATATAGGTATTTTCGATATTGGTATATACCTATTTATGTAGGTACCTAAGTTAGACATCTATCTAGCTATAAAACTTAGTTCCTTTAAAGTAAGTACATAAGAAGAGTTTTAAGCGATTTCTAACATTTTTAGTGCTTTGACAATCGGATTGGGCGTCATATGTTCATAAAAAGTTTTTTTTTAACACATTTCCTATTTTTTTAATGAGTGAATTTTTTCTAAAATCTTTTTATATAGTTTCTTGACAGGTATGTGCATATTTTTTATACCTATGTATTATGTTTGATAAGAAATTATGTAGGTAAGTAGATAGATGTACGAATAGATATTAATAATATTGAAAATAGATTGATTACATATACGTATGTATGTAGGTTGCAATATGTACATATGTGGGCTTATTCGATATGTATAACTGGTATCTATATTTGAATTATGTATAGAACTAATAGTAGTGGGCAGAAATATTTCAAAATAAACTAGAGGGAGAATTTTCTTTAATGGATATGAATAGATTTTTTTTTGATGGGTGAAAATGGTATGGTAACTCCGCCTGCGCTAACGGGACACGCTGGCGGAGCACCAGTGAAGGGTGATAGATGAGAATGAAAACAGGCCAGTTAGCCCATCATGATGAATTCGTCAGGAATTAACCATGATGGTTTCTAGGGGGAACCACGAGGAGGTAGACCTGGTTGGGTATATTGCTAGCAATGGGGGTTTTTAGTCGATGTGAATAGAATAGATTACTATTTTATCTAGGATTACCCCAAGTACGGGTGGACGTCTAACAGCCCCATTGTGGGGGGAAGGGATTGTTAGCAATGGAGTTTGACAGCCCTATTGCTAGCAATATGCACTATTAGGTCGACTTCCACGT